TTGTGTTATTCCTCATTTTGTAAGTCGATTTAGATAAAGAACCTGCTAAATGAATAAATGTAAACCAGTGTGCACAGAGAGCAGTGCTCATTCATAACCACTAATTGAAGAATTACAATTTGATTTGAATTACAAATTTAATTTGTCCATCTGTGTGGATAATTTTACTAATTCTTAATCTACATGTTTTGTATTTTGTAACTGTATATGTTTATGTAACCATATCGTGCATGAATTGTCAAGGTGAATTTTGAGTTTTGAACTTTGTTCACCATCTTGAGGCTGTGGGTGAAATACCCTTGGCAACTTATCCAAGATCTAAAAATTAACACTGGTCAAGTGCCAAATAAGAGTAAAAATTGGTGTTGCAACAGAGTATATGAAACGGTGATACTCGCCAGCCAGGCAAACACTGACCACATGTTTTAGAGTGAAGGGTGACATTGTGTTTATTTATATGCAATCATGATCCAGTTTTTTCCAGTACCAACCCTCTTCACAAATTTGTAATGAGAATAGTTCTTAAATCAACAAAGCAGCAGATTAGAGGTTTTACACCCATCTAAAAGCTCTAGTTTAACATTTTAAATGCAAAGAAATAAAGACAGGCATAAATATTAGTAGGCTATTGTAATAGTAATGTTGTTCTGTAAAATAAAATTGTTATTGTTATTATTATGTAGTGATACTAAAATTGAAAAAACATATTTTCTTGTCTGATTGTGTGAATATCCTGCATTATGAAGGCATAGATTGTGGGAATTATTAAAATTAGTGCCTTTAATCACTACATTTTTTTCTAATATGTGGATTGATTTCTCTTTGCGTACATGTATTTTAAATGCAGAAGTGAAAATAAATTACGATGTTTGCGTTTTTGTTCAGGTGCGTTTCTCTGCACTTGTCATGCTGCTGGAGTTGGCATGCAAGCTGAGGGAGAACTACATGGTTCTTCTGCCAGAGACTATCCCATTTCTGGCTGAGCTTATGGAGGGTAAGAACATTATGTCAACATTTAATCAAATGGGCACACATGATTTTGTAAATAAAGTGCACCGTTTTACGGTGCTGTCTTTGTTGCTTTGAGACTTGCTGCATTTTAAGAACGCTTAGATCTGTTTCTTTAACAATCAAAAATGTTCCAGAATTCCGAATTTAGTTATTCTTCCTCCTTGTTTCACAGATGAATGTGAGGAAGTGGAGCAGCAGGTGCAGAAGGTCATTCACGAAATGGAGACTATCCTTGGTGAACCACTGCAAAGCTACTTTTAATCCCACCCGGGAGTGATTTCACACCATCACAGGCACTTCTTACACCCTTTAATTGTGCATTCGTTATCCTTGTGCAGTATTTGGTGATGAGCTGCTCTGCTGGAACATGTGTCTGCCCAGCAGTTCTACCTGCACACCTCATCACTGACTAACAGCTCAACCTGTCCTACCTTTGTGTCCATGTATATGTAAATTTAAAAAGCCACAAATTTTGGAAGCCAAAAATCACTGGATGCCACATGCTTTACAGTAGGGTTATATAAAACTGACACATGATGTTTAAATGTGTCTATTGTTTTTAAAAAGTAATGGTTTTTTATTGAATTTTCTAATGCATACCGATGTACCTCTCTGGAATCTGAATATCGTAAAACGATGAGGCTGGAAAATGTGCATTTGTGTTTGGTAGGAATCTGGGTATACTATTTGACCGTAGTCTTTCATTTGAAAGCCACATCTCCAGCATTTGTAAACTGCATTTTTCCATTTAAAATGTATGTCTTAATTACAACACATACTCTCAATATCAGATGCAGAAAAGTTAATTCATGCATTCATGATTGACATGATTGTCAACAACATGATTGTAAAGCGCTTTGGGTGTACAGCAATACACAATAAAGCGCTATATAAATGCATCATTCATTCATTCATTCATGGCATCAAGGCTAGATTATTGTTATACTCTACTGGGTGGTTGCTCTGCATGCTTAATAAACAAGCTCCAGCTAGTGCAAAATGCAGCAGCTACAGTTCTCACTAGAAGCAGAAAGTAGGACCATATTAGCCCAGTTCTGTTAACACATTTTTTGGCTCCCTGTTGAGCATTGCATACATTTAAAAATCCTGCTAATTACTAACAAAGATTTAAATGGTTTAGCTCCTCAGTACTTGAGCAAGCTGTTATCGCATTGTAGTCCTTCATGTATATTGCAGTCTCAAAATTCTGGCCAGCTGATAAAACCTACAATATCATAATCGACTGTAGGCGGTAGATCTTTTTTTCTGTTGAGCACCCAAATCCAGTCTATATCCAGATCAGATAGAGGACCTGCACCTATTGATGACCACAACAGCCCTGAATTTCAGCGCAGACCGTGACAACAAGACAATCCCTAGAGACCGATCCCCTATAAAGACCTCATTGACACGAAGGCCATCAGCACAGATCCTGAATGTTCTAAATGATACCAATCCACAGTATGACTTGTGATGCAGCTTGGAATTAAACAAACCCATGTTGACTTGTTTGGCCAGAGGAGAACTAGCCCACTGATTGAGCCTGGTCCGTTTGGTGATTAAATAAACAGTTTTAGACCGCTGCTGGAATTGAAAGTGACGCGTCTGGTGTGTGACTTCTCCGAGAACGCATCACAGGGCTCTACAGTGCGACCGAAAACTACTGCGTGCGACTATGAAAACATATTTAGGAGCACCAGTCCGACTGACCAGCTCATCATCATACTTGTGATTGTGATCGCTGAGGGGAGCTTCAAAGGTTTCTACGTGTTTTTGCAGCCTCGAGTAATGTATCACAGACATATCTCATGAATCCTTTCATAAGCAAAGTGTAGACGGTGTAAATAAGAGATTCATTGCGCAGTGTTGAGAGCTTCGTTGATTATAAATGTGAGCTCGCGATGAGCTAAGATGAGTGACAGCTTTTAATGATTTTTAAGGGAGTTTGTAAATGTGATACTGATTTAATACAACAGTTAAATAGACAAGAAGTTAATATTAAGTGACTTACATTGTCTGACTATAACACTATTGTCTGATTTTGCTCTATTTCGTCGTCGAAAATAGTTTCAAACAAAGTCACAGCTCAGCCGCTGCACATCTCCATTCAAACACAGCGGTGTTTCGTTTATGAATGAACTGTGTTTTTAAACGAATCTAGTGAGTCAGTGATTCATGATTACCCTTTCATAAATACTGTCACTTGCTTCATTCCTGAATGATTCAGCCGTTCGAATGAATCAATTGAATGAATGATTCAGTGATCAAATCAGTGACTTGTCGCCACCTGCTGGCGGATTTAGTTTCATTTTTAAAGTATCTTTTCAGTTCTTTAAATCATTTAATATTTCTATATTCAACATTTTTTAAAACATTAATCTTACCATGAATTTATGGATTTAATTGCACTCCTGCCACCTCTGATCCTCATTAAATGTCTGAAAATACACCTACAAGCCACTTTTGTGTTCTTCTGTGCTACCTCTGTACAAATTAATTTTAATACTGATTTCATTTGATTAGTAACTTATTCTTCTTATTCTACTTGTTCTTATTCTATGGTTTTATCTAGAATTTTTAAAAAGCTTATAAAATATATATATTTTTAAATTTGACATAAAAGATTACATACTTTTAATAAAGATAGAAAAATGCCATTACAAAGGTAAAAACAAAATTCTACTGTAAATCACTTTAAGGAGTCAAATATCACCTCGTAATGGGAAGGCTATTTTTTTATCAAATTTTGGTGCTCCAAAATTTTTGACTGTGCTCCTAGATTTTTTAAGTTAGCATGACTGTTGAAATTAAATGGTAATACTTTACAGTGTAAGAGTCCTTTTGTAAAATTAATGAAAGCTGTAAAAGTATTGTTCCTAGTGTGTTCATTTCAACATTTACTATTACTAATAGGCTATATTTTTACATTTTAAAGTTTCTTTTTTTAACATTAGTAAACTATGAAATAACTTTAATGATCAATATAATAATTAATATTAATATGTTTATTCATTTACAAAGTATGGTTCAGTACTGCTACTGCTTTTTTAAAAATAGTAAAGCTCTGTTTTAGTTTTCGTTTACCATTTTAAAAACTATCGGTTGATTAATCGGTATCGGCCAGTGTGGTCCAACCTAGCTATCGGTATCGGCAAAATCCACTATCGGTCGACCTCTAGTGATTATTATTGATTCTTCATTAATGAAGCTGAAGGATATTTGTACATTTTTAAAGGTTCTTTTTTTAACGTTAGTAAACTATGAAATAACTTTAATGATCAATATAATAATTAATATTAATATGTTTATTCATTTACAAAGTATGGTTCAGTACTGCTACTGATTTTTTAAAAATAGTAAAGCTCTGTTTTAGTTTTCGTTTACCATTTTAAAAACTATCGGTTGATTAATCGGTATCGGCCAGTGTGGTCCAACCTAGCTATCGGTATCGGTAAAATCCACTATCGGTCGACCTCTAATACATATATATATAGGGTTATTACAGTTAACTAAAACCATAAAATGCATTTTGTCACTTTTAAATAAGATAAACCTTAACTGAAATAATATATAAAAACCTTAAACTTATTTTAATTTCAGCTCGTTGCCAAGACGTTTCTCATTTTCATTTTTTTACACGATGTACTAAAATAACATAAAAATAAACGAAAATAAAATTAAACATAGCCAAAACAGACATCAGAATAACTAAATATAAATAAATGTTACTAAAATTAAAATAAAAACAAAATATAAAAATAACAAATAATTCATATTTAAATATAAATATTAAACAATAAGAAAATGACGAATTAAATATCATATTAGCCTATATAATATAAATACGTATAATTTCTTGATCCTTAAGTTTATATTTTCACATGCGCTGTTTATGTTAATTAACCATTTCGTATGCAAATTAGGCGATGGCGTCAACTAAAATCAGTTCTTCCCCATTTACTTTTCCTGAACAAAACGGAAAAGAAAACCCAGGTTAAGACAGAAGAGCGCGAGCAGCCCAATGACTGACACCGGATGCGTGTCGTCACACGTCCTGTAATCTGCTTTGATTTTAGAGCCGCTTATTCCAGACTGCTGCTGGATAAATAGTAACAGTGATGAAGAGCTTCAGCGGAATTCGAGCCGCTTTTCACATATTCACAAGAGACCTCCATCATCATCACTGTGTGGGAATAATAGGTGCACCTTTTTCTAAAGGACAGGTGAGATATAAACCCCCTAAGAAGCGTCCTCTTCTCATTTGAAATAATGATAAACAAGTATCTAAAAAATAATATGTTTGCATATAAATTCATGCATGGTGCAGTATGGTAGTGGTCCAGTGCTCATGTTATTGACTGTTACTGCAGCAGAGAGATGGTGTGCAGAGAGGAGCAGACCTCATTCGAGCTGCTGGATTGGTGCAGAAACTTAAAGGGCAAGGTACCACTACTACGCCTCCTGATATTTACACTGCTTTTATCAATGTTTGAGTACAGCATAATGCTTCTAAAATATTCGAAAAAAAATTTTGGTTACACTTTATTTTAAGGTGTCTGGGTCACCGTGTAATTATACAGTACATTACAAGTACAGAATAAAATATTCATTAATAACATGTACTTAGGCTACTACAGAGTTAGGGTTATAATTACGATCTGGTTTAGGGTTGCATATAATTATGCATAATTTCTTGCTATTACTGTAGTAAGTATGTGTAACAAGGACATTGTAAAATAAAGTGTTACCTAATTTATTTATTTAAAAAAAGACAACATGGGATGTTTGCATTTAAAAAAGTTGAAATGTGATTATGCGGTTAAAATGGATGAAAATGTTAAATTGTGACTAGTTATAGCATGTAAAAATATAGGCTGTACTGTATATAAATTCATTTAAACTTTAACCTAAATCTTGACGCAAGAATGGTAATGTGTTATTTGTCAACTAGCCATTATACAATACCTCCAACTGCTAATGTTTATTTTAAGGTCAGGCGACACGCAATCAATATTTATCATTGCCATTTTCGTAAAAAGCTTTAAATGTTTCAGAGTCTATATTTGATCTGTCTGTCTGTTGTTTCATAAATGTTTTATAGGGTAACTTTAAACAAGCTAGAGGGACTGATGCCATGCAAGGACCAGTGCTGCCATGTGTGGTTTTTATTTATTTACCTACGATGTGATCTCATAAGAGCAGTAACACTGACGTTACACTACTCCCCTTTCTGTGTGTATTGCAATATTTTGGATTGAGTTCTGTTACTGAATAAGAGTCAAGCGTGTATTTGCACATTTGAACTCAAACAAACCCAGTAATGTTTAAAAGCTTGAGCTGATGGCAGAACAGAGAACTCTACAGGTTTAAAAAGTTAAATCGGTGACAGACTGTCTAAAATGAGTGATTTATTTAAATATTCATTCCAAGATGTTTACATATTTGAAGGACACTTTCAACAGCATTCATTTAATAATTGAATAGCACACTTTTGAAACTTCCTAAGTGAATGTGCAGTCTCCAGCCTTCCAGTTTACCTTTTAAATAATATTTTTTATAATATAATATAATATAATAATTTTTCTTCTTCACTCTGAGAAAATATAAAGAATAAAGAGGTGATAGAGAAACACTTCTGCAAACTCTCAACCTCATGCTACACTTTTCCAGTTCAGAAGAAATGGATGAAATTAATAATACTAATAATAATACTAATTCTACCGTCTGTGTTATTGCAATATGATATTTCTTTTTCTTTATATTTTTGGTGTAATAATGATTAGGCAATATTGTATGTACACACAATCATGCCAATAAAGTATTATATTAAAAAGGGAATGGAAAAATAAATGGTGACTCAAACCTGACACTGTGCATCAAAACAATATATTATAGATATATTTTCAGTGCATGACTTGACAGTTGAGTACATTTTTTTCAGGATTCTTTGATGAATAGAAAGATCCAAAGGTCAGCATTTATCTGAAATAAAAAGCTTTTGTAACAGTATTATACACTATACCATTCAAAAGCTTGGAGTCAGTGTGTGTATATATATTAAGTGATGATAAAGGCATTTATAATGTTACAAAATATTTCTATGTCAGATAAATGCTGTTCTTCTGAACTTTCTATTCATTAAAGAAACCTGAAAAAATTCTACTCAGTTGTTTTCAACATAATAATAATAATACATGTTTTTTTGAGCAGCTTATCAGAATATTAAAATGATTTCTGAAGGATCATGTGACTGGAGTAATGATGCAAAAAATCTGCTTTGAAATCACAGGAATAAATAAAAAAAACTTTTAAATAGCCTATATTCAAATAGAAAGCAGTTATTTTAAATAGTAAAAATATTTCACAATATTACTGCTTTTGCTGTAATGCAGGCTTGGTGAGCAGAAGATAATTCTTTAAAAAACATTAAAAATCTTACTGTTGAAAAACTTTTGACTGATAGTGATGGATGGATGGATGGATGGATGGATGAATAGATAGAGATGGATGGATAGAGATGGATGGATGGATGGAT